TCCAAATATCATAATAACATACACGTACAAACATAATTCAAAACTATTTTCTATAGAGAAGGACGAGATATTATATATCTATTTACAATATAAATAGATATAAATAGAATTGACTTGTTTACTGTCCAGGTGTACATGAATTTAAAATAGCAACTGCACACATGATGGGCGATACCTAAGCGCACACTATCATTAGTTGTTTTGTCTATTCTTCTATAGGTAATAATATTATAAAGATGAAAAATTTGTTTTTTTGTTTGTTTGTTTGTATGGAATAGGCTCTGAAACTACTGAACCGATTTAGATGAATTTTGGTAAGAAGATAGTTTGAGTCACTGGGAAGGACATAGGATAGTTTTTATCCCGGAAATCTGTTAAGAGGGTGAAAATGAGGGTGAAAGTTTTTTATGGGCAAGCAACGCGAGGAGAGGGTGAGTCGCTAGTCTAGAATAAAATAACGAAACCGATTTCAATAAGACTTCAACTGGAGGATTTAGGTCAAAATGGCATACTTTTTAGTACATTCCAACAGGACGATCGACAATTTATTGTTTGTTTTTTTTTTATTCAATTTTAACTCAATATGTGTCAAGTAGCAACTGGTAGCTATTTTCTAAACTGTATACAGTTACAAAACTGTATACAGTTCTCTATAGAGAATAACTACTAATTTTATTGGTAACGTTGTATCCTTCTAGAATCTTATTCTAGACACTAGCATTGCTCACGGTTCCGCCCGCTTTTACCTAAACAAAAACCAAATTCTTAGGTTTTACAGATTAGTATACTCTTACATTGCAGTTTTTGTATTTTTTCTCAGAAATGAGATATTTTCCTGCGGTAAAAAGTATCCTAATTGTTGACCCAGGTAATCAGCTATGACCATACCAAATTTCATCAAAATCCCTCCAGTGGTTTTTCTCTGATGCGGTAACAGACAGACAGGCAAAAATTCTAAAAACTATAGATTCGGCCTCTGTATCGATAGTAATGTTTATTTCAATAAGATTTTCCAAAATTATATTATACATATGTATAGAAGTATATTAGATATCGTTAGTGCTTCTTGAACGCATCATTGCAATAACTGTTTGACGTGATTTTTAATAAGCTTATGAGCCGAATACGATATATTATAATATAGGTTTCTTCTGTAGGATATTAGACTTCTACATTTATGTACGTGCGTGATCTAAGAAGTAGAAGAACAGTACAAATTATATTATATTAACATCCATTTCATAAACAATCGAGTCCCTTAAATTCCTAACTTCTTATTCTAACTATACAGATAAATAAAATTGAAGTGTCTGTTTGTAATGTTAAAATACCAGCTTTTTACTAAATACATATAGAAAGTATTACGGTACATTAGTGCCGAGAAAAAACAATTTTTAAAGTTTTTGTCTGTCTGTTTGTTCCGGCTAATCTCCGGAACAGCTGGACTGATTTTAACTGGACTTTCACTGGCAGATAACTGATGTTATAAGGACTAACTTAAGCTATTAATATTTTAGAAAAATAATCAGGGTTCCACGCAAAAAATTAAAACCCATGAAATTGTATACAAAGCGCACCTAAGGACGCAACCGAACAAGCGAGGATGATTCGCTAGTAGAATAATATTATCATTTAAGTCAAAATTGTTATTTAAATTTTAGTACATCTAACAAAAATATTCAAATTACAAGTAACAATGGTGCATCGTTGCTTGCTGTCTAAACGAGGGTGGGATCGATCGTTTGCATCTAGGTCAGACAGGCGCAGTACCTACATTGAAATCAACGTAGAATGTACTGGAAAATGAAACCTTCACGGTCTATTGGCGTTGAACAGATTTAAATTTAAAGGCACGCCACGAAACTAACTTCGCCAAAACTTACTGGTCAGTTTGCTGTTTGAGTATCTATACAATATACATATACTAAAATTGTAACAAGCCGAATCTGCACATTAAATATTTTTGGGAAAATCTTATTGAAATAGACATTATTATCGATACAGAGGCCGAATCTTTTAAAATTTTTGACTGTCTGTCTGTGACCGCATCGCGGAAAACCCACTCACCGGAGAGGTTTTGATGAATTTTGGTATGATGATAGCTAGTTATCTGAGTCAATATTTAGGATACTTTTTACTGCGGGTAAATATATCATCTTTGAGAAATCTATACTAAACGTTAAAACGTAAGTAGGACGAACCCGAGCGCAGCGAGGGTGAGTCGCTAGTATGTAATGATATTACTATGCATATTTAATGTGAAGATACTTAAACGGATAGATCAAAGTATGGATAGATGAAGGAGTTCTTTTTTATTTCTGTGTTTTGGTCATTTCTCGTCTAATGTAGGTAATCGCCGCATTCGAGACTACAGGCTAGAACAACACACTGCATAAAAGCTGTAATAAACTGTAGGTGATTTGTTTAAGGGTACACTCATGAACGAATTGTGGCTAATTCGTTTATGGGTACACTCCATAATTTCATCTGGGCTTAAAAACGGTTTCCCATGATGAAAACTGTGGTTGTGCATGAGAGGTCCACACTACCCCAGAAGATCCTGTTTAGCGCTAGGACCACGTTGTTGTATCTTTTAGCATAGACTTTGATAAGTGATTTTAGATTAACGACTTAGGAATGTTAGTATTACCTAGGTATTAGAAAAATTAGTTTCTGTCAATTATATATATTATATTATCAATTATATAAATTATGAGGCCATTAGAAACTTGGATGGCATAAAAGCAAGTATAGTGGCAGAATATATTACATTAAATTATCCAATATTTTTTTTAGTAGCAGAACTCACTAAACTGTAATTTATTCATTAAAATTACATTTCTTTTGTTTCTCTAGAAGAGATTAGGCTGTATTTTTTATGTTTGTTACCTCAAAACTCCGAGCCTGCACAGATACACATTAACGCACACCGACTTTGAAAATATCTGATTTATAGTAAATGATTTTTTTTTACTTTTTAGTGTTTTTTTTGAAGTCGGTTTTTATTTTTTATTTTATAATATTTTAACATTATTTTAAAGACATGTGCTGCCATCTATTGACGATTTCTATACACAGAAAAATGAATATTTACTCACTATTTAGTATTTATAATATTGATATATTTTTTTGACAATGTTGTAGCTGAATGAAAACATTTTTACTGAAATTATATTAAAAATATGCGAAACATTTATGTTATTATTTATAATTTGTTATAATTTTTAGTCATTAATACTATCTACTATGAATCTTGCCAGGAAATGTATAAAGTAAAGATTATTTCATTATAATTACTTATTGTTATGTGTTTAGTTATATGTATCTATACAATATATTTGTAATTTCAATATATTTTGTTTTCTTGTAAATAAACTATTGAACAAGCAAATTATTTATTTATCTATAAGCTCACCTGACATTATTATTTATTAATATCTGACAATTCCTGTGCCAGTCAGTTTCTAGTTCTACCTTGGATTTAGGAAATATAAATGATTACAATATTTTGACTTATTGTTTATAGCTTTTTAGTAAAATCGAAATGTAATCATAATATTTTGAGAAAATTAAAACTCCTTATAACGTTTTCCTTTTTTTCAGCATTAAATAACATTTGCTATTGCAAAAGAATAGGCACTTTTAAAAGCTCTTTAAAACAAAGCTAATAAATCTATGAATATAATAAAATTCTGAGTCAAATCTATGCAGTAAATATTTTTTGGAAAATCTCATTGAAATAGTCATTATTACCGATACAGAGGCCGAATCTTTGTCTGTCTGGGAACGAAACGAAAAACCCACTGGACAGATTTTGATGAAATTTGGTATAATGTAGCTAGTCATCAATACAGATAAATAAAATTGGAGTGTCTGTTTGTAATGTCAAAGTAACAGCACTTTACTAAATGCATATGGAATTATATACGGTATTTATAAGAAAAACACAATTTTTAAAATTTTTGTCTTGTCTATTTGTACCGCCAAATCTCCAAAAAATTGAACTTGACCGTTTCCCTTTAATTTAGCATTTAATTAGAAAACTAAAATATTTACTAAACAACTTATGAAATTTAAATATTTTACTTTATATCCAATATTAGGGATAGGTTCTTTATTTCATTGTCAACCACCCTAAATCTTTTTCTTCTTTTTTCAAGGCACAGTAACTACATATATACAAGAAATATGCCCTAGCCACTAGGGCCTAGTGTCATATTTTCATATTATTTAGGGTGTTCTAAGATGTTTTAAAAGCCCTTACTGTGCTATGTAGGTACTAGCGATTAGTTGTATACAAAATATCATCTTTTACCTGCCCATTTTTTTAAACGTTATGGCCAAGTGGGATGTTTTCATAATTTGTATAGGGCATCTCAGAAATATAGAATAAATAATTTTGCGTTAGGGTATTTTTCAGTTTTGAGGCAAATTAAATATTTAATGAGTTAAAAGTAAATTCTTAAAGCTCTTCCTAATTAAAGCAATGTAGGTACTAATTTTACACAATGTTAAATTGTAATTTATGGATAATCAATAATGCCAATTTAATATATAAGTTTTACTGCATAAATATGAACATAGTAATATTTAAATAAAAATTTTACAAATTGTAACTTAAATTTAATTAATATTTATCGAATAAATAAAACAATGAAGATTTTATAATAATTAAATTTGAACAACATTATTAAATTAATTAATAATTAAATTTAAACAAATTTATTTAATACAAACAATTGAATTAATAAAACAATGAATATTGTAAAATTATATTTTATAACTTTTATTGATTTAAAGTAATGTTTACAGAAACTTAAGTAGTAAGGAAATTAAAACTACAAAATTATTATTTGTTACATTAAATGTAATCTTTTATTTTTAATTAAATGGAATTTGAACTAAAATCAGTCTTTGGCTGTACACCAGTGCACAAAAAAAACTTGCAATACACATATTTATACCATTATAACATGGCCGAGTAGGGGGCAGGGGGCTTAATCAACTTCCTCCATGCGGGACGCATCATCTGCGTCTCCTTCTAGAGGTGGAACATCTCCAGCACTGGGTTCCTCAACCTGGATGGGCTCATCCTCGTCAATGCCCAGACCAAGCTTGATCATGCGGTAGATGCGAGAAGCATGAACCTGAGGCTCATCAAGGGTGAAACCAGAGGACAGGAGGGCAGTCTCGTACAAAAGGATGACCAAGTCCTTAACAGCCTTATCATTCTTGTCCGCATCAGCCTTCTGGCGGAGTGTCTCTACAATGGAATGGTCAGGGTTGATTTCAAGGTGCTTCTTGGCTGCCATGTAGCCCATTGTGGATGTGTCACGTAGAGCCTGAGCCTTCATGATACGCTCCATGTTGGCAGACCAACCGTACTGCGCAGTAACAATGCAGCATGGAGATTCAACTAGCCTGTTGGATACAACTACCTTCTCAACTTTGTTATCCAGGATGTTCTTCATGACCTTGCAAAGGCCTTCGAACTTAACCTTGTCCTCTTCACGCTTCTTCTTTTCCTCCTCATCCTCTGGAAGTTCCAAACCTTCCTTAGTTACAGAGACTAGAGTTTTGCCGTCATATTCCCTCATCTGTTGTACTACATACTCATCAATGGGCTCGGTCATGTAGACTACCTCATAGCCACGCTTCTTAACCCTCTCAACGAAGGATGAGTTAGCTACTTGATCTCTGTTTTCACCAGTGATGTAGTAAATGTGCTTCTGGTTCTCCTTCATGCGGGAAACATATTCTTTGAGGGAGCAAGCTTCATCACCAGAGGCCGATGTGTGGTAGCGGAGCAAGTCAGCTAACTTGGAACGGTTTTGAGAGTCTTCATGAATACCAAGCTTCAAATTCTTGCTGAACTGTTCGTAATACTTCTTGTAGTTTTCTTTGTCTTCAGCCAACTCTTCAAAGAGTTCAAGGCATTTCTTTACTAAGTTCTTCCTAATGACTTTCAAGATCTTATTTTGTTGGAGCATCTCACGAGAGATGTTGAGGGGCAAGTCTTCGCTGTCGACCACTCCCTTGATGAAGTTAAGGTATTCGGGAATGAGGTCTTCGCAGTTGTCCATAATGAAGACCCTGCGGACGTACAGCTTGATGTTGTTCTTGCGCTTCTTGTTTTCGAAGAGGTCGAAGGGCGCGCGACGAGGAACGAACAAGAGGGCACGGAATTCAAGTTGACCCTCAACGCTGAAGTGTTTGACAGCCAGATGATCTTCCCAGTCATTGGTAAGGGATTTGTAGAAGTCACCGTACTCCTCTTGGGTGATGTCATCAGCATTACGTGTCCAGATGGGCTTAGTCTTGTTCAGCTCCTCATCCTCAGTATACTTTTCTTTGATGGTCTTCTTCTTCTTCTTCTTATCTTTGCTGTCCTCATCTTCATCCTCACCTACATCCTCGATCTTAGGCTTTTCGTCTTCCTTCTCGTCTTCTTTCTTTTCCTCCTCAGCTTCGTCATCAGAGAGCTCCTTTTCACGTTCTTTCTCAACTACGAGTTTGATTGGATAGCCGATGAACTGGGAGTGTTTCTTAACGACCTCCTTGATTTTGTGCTCTTCCATATACTCAGCGAGGTCCTCCTTGACGTGGAGTACGATCTTGGTACCACGGCCAAGGGGCTCTCCGTGGTCAGGGCGGACGGTGAAGGAACCACCGGCTGCGGACTCCCACATGTACTGTTCATCGTCATTGTGTTTTGAGTGTACTGTGACGCGGTCAGCGACTAAGTAGCACGAGTAGAAACCCACACCGAACTGACCGATCATGCTTATATCAGCGCCCGCCTGCAATGCTTCCATGAACGCCTTCGTGCCGGACTTCGCGATGGTTCCGAGGTTGTTCACTAAATCGGCCTTAGTCATACCGATACCCGTGTCAATGATTGTAAGGGTGCCTTCGCTCTTGTTGGGCACAATTTTGATGTACAACTCCTTACCACTGTCAAGCTTCGACGGGTCAGTGAGAGATTCATAACGAATTTTGTCCAAAGCGTCAGAAGAATTTGAAATTAACTCACGGAGGAAGATTTCCTTGTTCGAGTAGAATGTGTTGATGATCAGGGACATAAGCTGGGCGATCTCCGCCTGGAAGGCGAAGGTCTCAACTTCACCCGATTGAGTCTCCATTTTTTCAGGCATTAACGTTTACAAATTTAAAATCGAAGTTTCTTTAATATGTATCAAGGGATATGAACTAATTTCTTTGACTTCTATGCGTAGCGCGGTTTATAGCACGTGTTGATATATCACAGGGAACGACACTTTATTCTCGCAGCTCGTTTTTACTGAATGACGCCGGCGCGTAATGTCACGGTGCTTATATAGCGTCTGTTTCCGTGCGACATCTATGGTCGAGTAGAAATTTCTGGATTTTGCGCTCTTATTTCCAGATGCTTCAAACCTTTTGATAGATTTGTAATATTTTTATTATAACCTACCTTATAAAACTTATTTATCTTATAAGTATTTTTTAAAGTAATTACCTATTAATTATAGTATAGTAATACTATTGTACCTAGGGTACGTAATAGATACTATTATTTTAAAATCAATTACATAATTACTTGAACTTACCTATATCATAACTAGCGGCTCACCCTCGCTTCGCTTGGGTTCACCTTTACACAAACAAAAACAAATTTATCCCACGGAAACCGTACATTTTTCCGGGATACAAAGTAGCCTATTTGTTATTCTCATTTATGAACTATATTATTGTAAAGTTTCATTAAAATTAAATCAGTAGTTTTTGTGTTGAAAGCTGTATAAGTTATTATAGATTATTAACTATCTCACGGGAACTCTTTAATTTTCCGGGATGAAAAGTACCTAAAACGTTGACCGGGGATATAAGGTACCTCCATGCAAAATTTCATTTAAATCGGTCCTACAGTTTCGGAGATAAGCCCGTACAAACAAACAGACAGAGAAACAAAAATTTGAAAAAGATCTGAATTTGTTCTATTTCTCTTCTTACATCCCCCTGACTCGGTTATTAGCATTTTTTTTCTATGTACAGACATTTGACCTCAACAGTTTTATTATATGTATAGATATGTGTTTCTTTATAAATATAAAAACTAAATTAGAATTAATGTTAGTTTGCTATAAAGACAATAATATTCTAAATAAACACTTCTAATCACATACTATAAATAAGTCAAGTTTAAAAACTTGCAAATAAACATGCAATAAATAATAATAATAATAATAAAATGTTAATTTATACAAGAAAAATGTTTCTCACACCGAACGTAATTTTACTAGTTCCGCTATTCGATACTATGCAGCGACACCGTCGCTTACCAACATATTCATGGAACATTCTAGAGCATTCGAGATCTTTCTATAACTATTACTCAAAAGCAAGCTATTGGCATAATACTTGTTTGTAAAATTATGTAAATGAATAGGTTTTATTGTAAAACTATTTTAGAAAATATAATTTACGTAAGTTTAATTCACAAATTTTAGTAATTCTCCCAAATAACGTTCCTTTCTGGAATGTTCAAAGTATATCCGGTGCTTGTTGCGTCTATTCGCCGCTTGGAGCGCTGTCAACATCCTATTTCCTCTACTGTACCTAGCAATATATGAATCTTTCTAGACTCTTGTTCCAAGATGTTATTGATTTTTGTGCATAAATGGCTAAATTTATGTACGAATGCACTTTCTATTCTCAGCTTTCAATTATAATTACGTATATAAACAACAAAGTATATTGCGTTATAGGTGCATTTTCGCTAGTTAATACTAAAAAAAAAATGGTAAAAAGAGTAATGTTAATAGGAGAATACTTTGAAAATATTTAATAATATAAATAAAAATAACTATAAGTAATTTAATGAAAAAATATAAATATTAACCATTTAAGTCTATTATAATAATTTTCTAATAAAGGATAGATGCTATGTACATGAGTATATATATAGAGTTCAAAGTGATTTTGCTTGTCATTATTTTAGAAACAAAGAAATTTTCAAAATTTATTTGAATCATTATATAAAGACATGATATCTACATTTAGTGCTACATGTACTAAGTTAGTGCATTCGTAAATAAAATAATACATAACCTAAAATTAGGTATACTTATAATATTTACACTTTTATTTTCGATTATATAAGTTCTTATTGTATGTTAAATAACTTAACATTTAAAAGCTTTTAGGTATATATCATAATTTCATTAGCCATTTATATTAAAAATATGAACTCTATATTTTCATGTAAAATGTTTAAAATGCCGGTGTGTGTACATAACCTCAAAATGGCAGTACTGAATACATGTTTTCGATTTCATATTTCATGGTGAGATAAATGTATAAGCGAAATTTTGAGTAATTTTAGTAGATGAGTACACATTCTTACTTATTATTACTAGCGACTTACCCTCGCTGTGCTCGGGTTCATCCCTATTGTACGTTTTAACGGTTAGTATAGGTATATTTCTCAGTAATGAGATATTTTCCCGCAGTAAAAAGTATCCTATATGTTGACCCGGATAACCAGCTATCATCATACTAAATTTTATCAAAATCTGTCCAGTAGTTATCTCGTGATGCGTTCCCAGACAGACAGAGAAAAGTTCTAAAAACTTTTCTCTTAAAAACTTTGATTTTTATATAAGTTACATATTATAATAATGACTAGGTATTTCAATAAGATTTTCCAAAAAATATTTAATGTGCAGATTTGGTTATTCGTGTCTTATTACTTATATGTTAGACTACCTATAAACCAAATTACTTACATTTTAATTAGAATTTAAAATTGCTAGGTTTAATTGAAAAATGTAAATGATATAATAAATAAATATTCAAAGGATTAAGTATTTTCCTATTGGTCAGTTCGATTTCGATATTATTAAAAATATTCTCAACGTTTATATTACGAATGTTCTAGAATATTATAAATAAAAAAATTAAGTATATTATTAAAAATATATTATTTTGTATTTTATTAATATAATATTACTTACGGAAATATTAAGTTATTATTTATGTAAACTATAAATAATTATTAAAGTATTTACTTGATCCCGCTTATCAATAACTGACAAGGACTTAACAATGAATATAATATTATAAAAATTTAACTATAACTAAAATTACTTAATAATTTTATTTACTAATCGCTACCAAACTTCACAGGATCACCCGCTGGGCTAATCTGAAGATTGCGTGAAAATTTATTAAAAACCGCTCCAGACGTTTTGGAGTTCGTAGAGAACATAATATGTACATACAAATATCGATTTTTATATACGTATTAGAATCGTCTATGGCATAGACATGGTTAATACTTAATAGCCAGGAAAGTATTGTATATTATGTTGAATCCCGGGACGAGATGTGGTTCCCGAATCCCGTGGGAAAATTGAAATAACTAAGTACAATAAAAAAAGAGTAATTACAGCCAGAGATAAGTACAGACGAGTCACTTATTACAAGATAGTGTTTTTTTGTAACTTTGTAAAATACGAAATAATGGTTATGTACATACATCCTACTAATATTAAAAACGCGAAAGTTTGTGAGGATGTATGGATGTGTGGATGTTTGTTGATCTTTCACGCAAACTACTGAATGGACTTTAATGAAACTACAATAATATATAGCTCATACATCAGTGTGTAGCTGATAAATAAATATATTTTTAATGTGTCATAGTAAGTATGAATCATTTTTTTTATTAATAAAGTACATTGTAAAATTGCGCGCGTTACGCCATCTGTAATCTAATAGTTTAAAATTGAATTTTAAACGATTGAATCTTAAGACAAAAAAAAAGAAAAGGCTAACTATTCAAAAAACCTTGATTTTCCCATTAAATAAACAGTGCATTGAAATAAAATTAATATAAAATATTATTTATTATTCACGTCTTGATAAAAAGTCGTTGTATTAACATTTAACTTTTTGCCAATAGATGTCACTGTTTGACTTTGAATAAAATTTAACGCGATTCTAAATAAAAGTAAAATAGTATAATAAAAACACATATCATATAGTACAAGATAAAAACATAAAATGCATTACATATTATTGAGTATTATTGTTATATTTTAATTATAATTTTATCATAATCATAATATTGCACAAAACTTAAAAGACTACAAAGTTTCGATAACTCACCAATAGATGTCGCTTGTTGAATTTCACGAACATTCTACGCGTTGCTCGTACATTGTAGAAATATAATGTTAGAGATATATATAAGTGACGCCCTCCGCTCGACTCGGCAGTTGTTTGAAACAAGCGCACCAGTCAAGCGGACGTATATTGCTCACGCTTTTAACCGAAAACCGGTGAATTTACTCATTATGGCATTACTTCCACTGTTAATAGATTACGATTTGAGACCGAGACGGCTTCGAGATCAGCTTTATGGCCTGGATTTGTCTACTGATGATTTCCTAACCGACATTTTCGATCGTCCGTCACGACGTAATTATTTACGTCCATGGAGAAACCTGTCATCATTGTCGCGAGACGTTGGATCTACCATCAAAAGTGACAAGGACAAGTTCCAAGTTAATTTAGATGTACAGCATTTTTCACCTGAAGAGATTACTGTGAAAACAGTGGATAACTATATAGTAGTTGAAGGCAAACACGAGGAGAAGAAAGACGAACATGGCTTCATATCTAGGCAGTTTAAACGCAGATACGCATTACCAGAAGGCTGTAACCCAGAGATGGTGGAATCTAAGCTTTCATCTGATGGTGTTCTGACAATATCCGCTCAAAAAGTTTCTGAAAAGAAAAACGAAAGGATTGTACCGATTTCTCAAACTGGACCAGTTCGGAGAAAGATTCAGGACAGTGAGGAAAAAGAGCAGCCGAACGGAGAAGCCGAAGAAGCCGAAGAAGTTAAAACCCCTCAAAAGAAGAGAAGGCGATAACTCATAACTTTGTATACTAACGCCATCTAGATTTATGTATGGTAATTAAGTACAATTGTAAGACTGATTTTTTTGTCCAATGAAGTATTATTAATTAATAAAAGCTAAGTTATAAAAATATATTGTCTGTTTTATTTAAATCTTTTTTTTATAATAACTATATGGTAAATAAAGTAAGAAAAAAATATGTTTTTGAAATAATTATACTTAAAAATCTTGAGAAAATCATTTTACTTTAAACTTCATTTTATTCTTAAAAACTTAATAAAATAATATTATTGTGCATTTTGAGCTTTTGATCCTCTAAATTTTGGTAAAATTGATTCTCTTAGAAGTCTAGAATCTAGTTAATACTTACTACTACGTAATTATATTCTCACATACGTAAAATTACACACATTCCTTGAATGATTGAGATAATTGTCTTTAATTAATTAATGGCAACAGCCATTGCCAAAAAGCTATTATCCTCATTAGAATTAAAAATAAAAATTATCTAACTTATATCGAAATATGTAAATATTAGTGAAATATTGTATGTAAAATATATACCAGCGGCTAACCCTCGCTTTTATCGGGTTCGTCCCTAGGTACCTATGTTATAACGATTGTTATGGAATAGATAAGAATACCTATATTATTTTATGATATGTAGCCTATACCTATAGCCTTAATCAATAAACGGGCTATGTAATGCAAAAGATTTTTTAAATCGGATTAGTAGTCCCTGAGATTAGCGCATCAAAAAAAAAACAAACTGATTCTTTATAATATTAGTATAGATTAATAAAATCATTAAGGGCGAAGGGCGGGCCACAGATTACTTACGTGATATATATATATATGAATACATATATATTTATACATATATATATTTTACAGAAAGTTATCACTATTATCCACCAAAATCCTGTGGTTTTTTCGTGATGCGGTAAGATACACAAAGAAAATATTTAAACCAGATTTGGGGTCTGTATCAATATTATTATTGATACAGAGCCCAACTATTTTAATTTAAAATGTTTTTCAAATTTCAAGAAATATATAAGAACTCGACTCGACTCAATAACAACTTTATTCTATGAATATTGTAGAGATAATAAAAACCGACTTTAAACAAAAGCACTAAAAAGTAAAAAATAACTGATTGGTAGTTTTCATTTACTATACATACCTAATCAAATATTTTCGAAGTCGGTGTGCTTTGGCTAAGTAATTAAAGCCTACCTATTAAATACATACCTAATCAAATATTTTCGAAATCGGTGCCAGCCACAGAAATCTTAATATTAGCTTATTATTAAGATTTCTGTGGTGCCAGCCCATACAAAGCAAAGCACACCGACTTCGAAAATATTTGATTAGGTATGTATAGTAAATGAAAACTACCAATCAGTTACTTTTTAGTGCTTTTGTTTGAAGTCGGTTTTTATTTTTTTGTTAAAAAGTTTTTATTTTTCCCTTTTTAGTGTAGACAGTAGTAGCAAAGTAAGAATTCTAAAGTGTTAGGTTTGTCAAATCAAACAAAATAAGCCCAAACTCAAAGTATCTACTATTAGTCGTTGAAGAGTTCCACCTATCCTCTTCTGGCCTTACCATCAGATCAGGTCAACAATACCGAACCACTGTACTATCAACGGAAATAGAAACACTTGTAAAGTTTCAAGTCAATATGACAATTAGAAGTAGGTTAAATTTATTATTAGCTATTTTTCCACCCTTAGAGGTGGTTTTTTTTTTTGAAATTTAAATGGGACCAATCTGGAAGTATACCCTTTCAAACAAAACAAAAATTGTCCAAATCGGTTAATAAATGACGAAGTTCTGAGGTAACAAACATAAAAAAAAAATACAGTCGAATTCAGAACCTCCTCCTTTTTGAAGTCGGTTGAAAAAGGCTACTCTCGTCTTAAATGCAATTTCAGCTACAAAATACATCAAACTCGATTTGAAGACCCTAGGAGTAAGCTAACAATTCAGTAGTAGAACAGACGAAGAGAAATATTTTCATTAAAGCTTTTATCAGACGCAATAAAATAATATATTAGTACTTAATTAAAAATGTCTAATGTAAGAATTAATAAGATAAGACAGCATGTCTTATTTCATATTTAATACGTTTTTCATGTTCATAATTCAAATATTCATAGTATTATAAGGTCTTCATATTAACATATTGAAGGAAATTATATCAGAAACACTTTACAGTAAATTACAGCGCCATCTATTGTTGCTTATATAAACTACTTAAAAACAAATACTTTACTTGCTTCTAAGCATTTCTACCGCGAGGGTGCTAGTATAGAATTCGGTCTGTAGAAATATCAAATGACACAATGTTCACTGTTTACGAGCTTTTCATTGCAGATCTACACTAATATTGTAAACATTGTGCCCTTCCTGATTAATTATGGCAGACATGGTACGGCACAATAAATCTTAATTGGTTATGAGAAGAGTTAAGAAAAAGTCAATATTTTATTTATTTGGTATGATTTATTATTTGAAACCCTGATAGAACTGTTTTCGAGCTAAATATTATAATTATTATATTAAATTTATTGGCCCTATCGTGCTAGCAAATATTATTTTAACGACAGCGATAGGACCTCACCCTCCAGTGGTGCCAGCTTGTGCAACCAGAAACGATAGCTCATTTCACTAGCAAAAAATAAAATAGTTCTACGCCATCTACTGATAAAGTATTAGTACTAAGTCAAGAACAACTTACTTAAAGTACAAAGTTATGTACTATCGTTGATATAGATGGCGGTACTAACTCGTGAAGTTTATATTTTGTTTATTTTCCTAATAGATGGCGCTAGCAAATCCTTCTAATCAAGTCAGATTAATGATATGGATGTAAACCGTAAAGTTTATAATAAAATAAGAATTTTATTTTAGTCTTACAAAAGTTTGTTTACGAGAACATTATTTTGATAATATCATTTATTATTACAAGAAAAAAATCATTAAAATTATCTATATTGTAATTAAAAGTATTTATCCATATAGTAAAAATTTATATATTAAATAAAACATTTATTAATAGTTGCTGCAAATATTACGCTACGAAAGTATTACAATTTATTTATATTGGTTATAAAATATTACGAAATTGTCGTAATGGAATAAAATTATTATAATTTGAAAAAATTGCCCTATTAAAACTAACTTTATTATTTACTAAACTTCATAATAGATGGCGCTACTGTAGTACAATGCGTTTCAAAAGCATTATTTAAGTTACAGAGAAAAATCATTATAGTGACTACAGAGAAACAGATATTCTAAAAAAAAAATTATAGCGTTATAAATTCACCAAACTTTTAAACATTCAAGATGGCATTTTTTCAAACATTTTCTTATATGTAACATAATCGTTAAAGAAAAACTTAAATGTTTCATTCGCGTGCGTGAGTTTTAGATTTGTTGGTGATTTATTTATCGGTATATTTTTAACTTTGTGTTTCCGTATTTGGTATTTGTGAATGAAACGGCGGCCTCATAACTGTAATAAAATATTAGAAAATACATTACTTCAAATTCCAGTGAAGTCAAATTGTTTGTAATAAAAAAATATTTAATATAACGTAGGTACCTACCTACATACGTTACGTAACGTGCTTAGAAAAAATATATATGGAGAAAAAAAAATTGTTTGTGTAAAAGAAGTTTATACCGCTGAATTGACGATATGCAGAATTAATAAAAAGTTAGATAGCGGGTTATAAACTCGGTCTCTTCCGTATATTCCCCTTCAAACGCCATTTCCAGAGCTTAAATATTATTTATATATACAATAAAAACGATTGTTATTCTATTTGTGTATTACGAGTATCTCTAAAATAGACAAAAAAAAAACATACACACCAATATAGAACCTCTTTCTTTTTAAGGCGGAGAATTTTTTAAAAGGAATCTAAAAACGAAACAAACTATTAAATTCCTAAGCAATTCCGCGTGAACAACGTAAATGTGTTATTAGAAAACATAATAATACATCCCAAATCCACCCTGTTTCTTATTAAGAAAATCTTTAATTGAACGCACACACAGACGGCAGAGACAAACACTTTGTATGAATAGTTCAGTTATATAGTAATAAAGTATAAATGATGAAAGTTACATATAGGAAAATATTATATATTTGCTCGCATAGCTACAGCCTATATATCGTCGCTTGATGGAATAGAACGTCTATAGAGACTTATTTATTTTGATTGTTTTTTTTTTTCATTTATTTTTTATATATATTTGTTCTATGTTATGTAGATATAGTAATTGTGCTTAACTATGATTCACAATCAAGGACATTTAATTTAAATTTAAAAAAAAAATGTAAAGAAAGAAAATCTAAAAGCTTAATGAGTCGTGTTTAATATTATTAATTATTTTTGTTGCATATAATAATATAGAGCATTATATTTTAAATAATACAGGGTTAAACTCTAAAGCGTTATACGAGTTCAAAGATGGATATCTATTATCTATTTATTTTGCTTTCCAATGTTATTCTTATTTAAGATCATGAATTGACAGTAACTCCTTAGAAGTCAGACTTGATCCTGCTAAGGTACTCGTATATTTTCAAATACTTAACAAAGTATTAAGTCAATTTGTTTATCATGTGTTGTTTCTTTTAGAGCATTTATAAAACGTCAATAATAAAATATTAACAGGGAAAGAAAGATAATTTCATTAAGTATCCAAGATTCTATAAAAAAACTTAATAATAGCAATAAAACTAGTTAGCACGACAGCTCTATGCCACCCGAGTCCGGAACACACATACGTAGAGCGAGGCGCTCCGTCTTAAGGACGACATATGAAGTAATTTTTTTTCCAACCACCATCCATTCAAAAGCCGACCTTATTCACATAGGATACAATTTAAAATACCTTTCATCGCGAAATATTTTTTCCATTTCATATTTACGAATATGCCCCAAATTCCCCAAAAATTAGAACCGTGAAAGCGGGGGGTGGCGGGGTGG